ACAGCATCTAGAGCTAGTTAAGAAACATGGCTACTACTTATTTTGTATTTTGTATATTTTGTGTGCTCCCTGTGTGCTCTTGCTACTGTCCTGTATGTGCGCTGCAACATCAAAATTTTCCCACTGTGGGACGAATAAAGGAACTCTTTCTTATTAGTGGAAAGAATTTGGTTGCCCCAACTTTTATAAAATGTAATTCATAGATTAATCTCAAATTTGAATTTGAACGTGTGTTGATTGGAAAATTCCCATCTATGTTCATATTGGATAGATTATGGTACATTTTATCTGTCTTAATCTATTTCCCATGTAAATAAGGAAACTATTTGAATGTCTTTGAAATTATCTTTATTTTTATTATTTCTAATTGAAATTTGAGAAATTTTAATTTCACCTGCCTGCCGGTCCTTCACATCACCTCTGTACCCCCATAGAGCCTTCATGTTTTTCCCCAAATACCTCCAGATCTTTCTGAGCTCCTGTCCCCGTCCAGACCCTGGGAGGAGCTATGTGAACTCCTCATTCAAACCAGCTGTGCCTTTCAACTCCAGAACATTTTTTACCCCCTTTTTTGTAACTCGATTCTTCAGTTGGATTCTTCCCTGCCGATAACTAGCTTTTACCATTTGCCCTAAATCGCCTGAAGGGCTGGAAAGATGTTATTGGAGGATATGAGGCTCATGTCGAGTTGCTCATTTCTGCTTTTGGAAGATTTAACAAAGTGTTAATAGTGCTAAAGGTCAGATAAGATAAAGTCTGCAGTATAGTTTGTTTTGCTTCTTATCCGGTTCAACTTACCTCTGTGAAATAAAGTTTTGTATGAGCTTGACTGGGGAAAAACTGACTACTTTCCCCCTAATTTTACGGTGATGTAATTTTTAGTTTTCAAAACTGAGGCACACTATGGTTAAACTGGCTACATACTGCTGGATTTTTTGCCAGATTTTAGCCCTCCATGAGTTTAGATAGATGAGTTTAGTCCATGATCGATAGATAGATACTTTGTTGATCCCTGTAGGAGAAATTCAGATGTCCAGTAGCAGCAAAAAAATAATAATAATATTGCTGATATTTTTTTAGAATGATCGACAGCCCTTCAGGTCACAGCAGCAGAGATGTAGCCACTGGGTGGAGCAGGACGGGTCACAGCAGCAGAGGTGGAGTAGCCATTGAGTGGAGCAGGACAGGTCACAAGGTGGAGTAGCCGCTTGGTTCGGACCATTTTCTCTGCTCTAGTCCAAATTAAAATGCTAAATGCTTCATTAGCATTTTTCAAAAAGTTTGCATTCCTCCAGTGGATTTTAATTTGATCCACTTGGTTCGAACCATGAATCCTCTCCTCTCCGGTCTGGACCGGTGCAAAACCATGAACACTATACTGCAGCAACATCTCGGGTAGAAAAAAGCAAGAAAAACAAAAATGGTACAAACAACAACTGTTTCAGAGCTACTTCGGACTTGCAGCCGTTTTCCAGCACATTCAAAAGTAAACGAACGTAAGCAATGCTTTGTAACAGTTGTTTTGACTGTGGCATCAGTGGAGACTGTCACATCACCAATACAAAAGCTCTGTGCGGTGCCATAGTCAAAGATGTAGAACTGTAGCGCACATGACAACGTTTATCTACAATATGTAGATTCAGGAAAATCCGAAATGACAGAAACTAACCATATTCATATACTGCTGACATGTTAACCCGTTCAGCCACCGGTTTACCAGGGTTTTATTGCCAAGTTATTTGCGCTGCATCACAATGTACTGTGCTGCTACAGCAAAAATACAATAACTACAAAACAGGAAAACATTGACATAGGTTTATTTGTACATATACACTAGTGTTTCTATAATGTACTGTGCAAGTGTCAGCTCAGCTCTTCATAATGCCTGAAAGTATCCAAAGTCCTCATATTAGTTCCGGTTCAGAACAAAATGGACAGTGGATGACAGCCGCTGTTCCCACCACACAAAGTGTCAGCAGTGTTTTTCCCTAGTCATTTTCTTTTCTACTGAACATACAGCTGAAAAAAATGAAGATGCTCAAATAGCATTTGCATGAAACTGGCGCTGCTCATGGGCTGCATTATGTTGATACCTTGTTTGTTACGTCCCTTACACTTCATGTGTAGAATGAAGAAGAATCCTGGAGGTGAGCACAGTGACACTCACTGAGCCACGCTCATCTGCACAAAATACAAGCCTTTTTACTCATGACATTCATATAACCCATTGTTTTTTTCAGTCTGTTTGGATGGAACGGTTCCCACAAATTTTCTCTGCAGCCATTACTCATTTCTTCCTCCTCATCTCCTCCTCTCTCTGTGCGACAGGCATGTGTAACCCCAAAAACTACAGTGACTCTCCGGCCACCTCCAAGAGCACCGTGGAGGAGCTGCACCGGCCCATCCCCTCGCTGTTCCGCGCTCTGACAGAGGGAGACACGCCCATAAACATGATGGTCTGGTCCTTTCCTGTGGCCGAGGAGCTGTCGCACCATGAGAACCTGGTGTCCTTCCTGGAGACTCTTGAGAACCAGCACCAAAACGTGTCACTGCCCGGAAACAGTATACATGCCAACTATGACGGGCAAGGTACCAGAGTTCATGCACTCGATTTATAGTAGGCTTATGTTGTTTTTTTGAGCAATGTTGAAATTTATTGTAGAGTGTGCTAAACCACAGATTTGTTTGCCCAAAAGGATGAGTGTGACAGAAACGGTTACTGAGCTAGAGGAGTTTCCTATTCAGTGTATGTCCAATAGGAGCCAGCGCAAATCGGAACAAAACTTCCTCCATAAGCGCTTTCCTATTGGGCCTTTTTGAGCTAACGAGTTAGCATTGACCATCTCTATCCATGATCTAAAGTATATACAGTCTATGGTTTGCCAACCCAGGGTTTTTGTGAAATTTACTTTGTTTTTTCACAGTGGGAATGATGCTGCATTTTTGCACACTTAATAAATCAAACTAAAATGCAAGTGATGAACATAGACTTCAAGTACAAGACTGATTTTTGTACACACACCTTTAGTCAACTAGATCTGCTGGTATTTTGGTCAACTGTAAAAACAGAGCAAAAAATAATGAAAGGAGCAAAGAGAGACAAATCCAATCCAAGTCCCAAACCAGACCATAAACATGACTGTTTTTTGAGCTGTGTTGGAATGGAATGGAAGCCAGTCTGTGTCAGCTTTTCACCACAGGGAAGATGGGTCAAATGTGTCAAAACAATCCTCAGTCTTTGAAAATGAGGCTTCTAATGTCATTGCGCTGTGGAAGGGAATCTCAATACAATGGCCTATGGCGAAATTTATAATAATCCACGTTTTGTTCAATGTTTGGCAACTATGTTAGAGCCAAATATTGTTCGTTAGCTACAGGTATTTCTGTGTTTTCTGAGAAAAAAGGAAGATCAACAAAAGGGAAGAAAATAGCCAAATGTCTGTCCATTCAAAGGAAAGCCATTGTCGTTCCAAACATCAGCAGAAGTGATGCGTTCTGGCCAGCCGGTTCAACAGGCATGTAGTGGTTCTACTTCTTGCAGGACCAGACCATACATGAGCATTCTGTCCAATCAGAGCTGACTGTGGACGGCGGCGCTTGCTCACGTTGCTCTCATCCTCGTGCTAATAAGAGCGAAGCTAGTAATGTTTATTTATATAGCGCATTTTACAGACAAAGGTCACCCAAAGCGCTTTACAATGTTCTGTTTGTTGTGTTTTGAGCTACACTAACTATACCAAACACATCACACCAAGCCCTGTTTTACTGCACATATTTAGGAAGTACAAAAGGTGATAAAAGTTGTTTTGTCCACATTTCCATCACATGGTGTTCAGCCCTCACTCTTAATAGCAGTGATTCACTTTTTTCTCTGCTCCAAAACATGTGGTTGTACTTTACTCCATTCTGCCGTTGGGAACGGGAAGAACCAGTGTTTTTAGTGACATCTGGAGGACAAAATGTGAACAAACGGCTGGAAAAGAGATTTATATTACTATCTATTGTAATGATACGTATAATAATTTTTATTCACAATAAAGTTAACACACTGCATCAACCACTATAGCTGAGAAGGAGAGGCTGAGGGACAGTGACCTGGTCTTCAAAATGCCCCATTGCAATGACCCACGCCAAGTTTTATCTTTTCTTTTTCATATAAAGTACTGTTGCCATGTCTCTTATAAAATATTAAGGAAAACAAAATAACCTGTTGCAATGGAATACAGAGAAGTATAGGGAGCGCTTTATGGAACACTGTTTAGTTTCTATCCATTTGTCTCTTTTCAGTCTGTTATGTAATCACATTTGTTTTTGTATTGCCATAAATCACAAATGATTCGCCAACAACAGATCAGAGAATCAAACCTTTCAAACGCAGGATATGACATAATAACAAACACATAGGGAGCGGGATGACCAATATCCTTGAATGTCATGCATCGGAAAGTAATATTAAACAAAAACGGTACGAAAAAGTGAGAAACCTCAGGAGTTCCATACTGAAAGAGGGATCCACTCCCACAGGCGGACAGGCTGTAGAACCAGGACTGAGGTTGTGCGATGCAGGACAGAATATTCTCCCATACGGGTAGGGGGGATGCAATCCACGAAAGGGGAGACGAATAAAAAACGCCAGATTCAGGGGTCCCATTGCAATTAACAGTAAAATAACATACTTAGTTCTGCAGCAAAGGTTTTAAAGGTCTCCTTTAACTTGTGCATGTTGTGTTGCAGAGAGCATGTGCACGGTGGTGTACTTTGATGACTGCGTCCCATCCATCAGTGTAAGCAGTACTGCGAGTCTATGGGAGGATCTAAGTATCGCTGGTTCCACAACGCCTGCTGCCAGTGCATTGGCCCTGAATGCGTGGACTATGGGTCTAAAGCCGTCAAATGTATGAATTGTCTTTTCTGATGCACACACAGGTCTATATCACTTTAGTTAGAACAGACTGGTTTTTACTCTCCCAGATGTATGATACAGTTTTTTTGATGATGCGTAGGTCCTAAATGAGGTCTGTAAATACAAAACCAGGATTGCGAATCGAAAATATGTACTTGATTTTATTCATTGAGATATTATCAAATTAAAACATATACAGTTGTGCTTGAAAGTGTACCCCAGAGATTAAGTAGGATGACGCAAACAGTCAATTTTAATTTATTTTTACTAAGCCCTTTGTAATAAAGGATCTCTTAATCTTCATCTTAATCATGTTGTCAATCTTAGTTCTTCATTCACCAACAACAGATCGGAGAATCAACTAGTTCGAACACAGGAATTGCAATAACAACAGACACATAAGGAGCGGGATGATCACTGTTCTTGATGTTCAGTGATGTTCTTAAATGTCCTGGAACATCACTGTCCTTAGACGCTCCTGCATTGCTAAGGAAAAACTCAAAAAAAAATACTGCGGGGAAAAGTGAGACACCTTTAGAGAGGTACCCACTCCCCCATATAATGACAAGCGGTCCCTTGTCATTATAGCAAGGGGCCACTGAATGTCCCCATATACGTTTAACATGGAAGACAGCTTTGAGTCTTTTGTGGTAGTGGGGTAGTGTAGTCTGATGGAGAAGCTGCCCATTCTTCTTGTCCTCCAGTTCCTGTAAATTCTTTTACAGGAACTGCACATTTGACCCCTACACTGATCATTTATGTCATAATTTTAAAATAAACTGTTTATTTGAGAGTATGTATGGCTTCATTCATCACTATCGATAAATTCATATCCAAAACAGTGGGTATTACAAGCACAACTGTATTTCCCATCCACTGCCATGATTGTATCGCCAAACGTTTTCAAAAATTATTGGGTTATTGATTAGTAAAAACGTACTTGTAATTTCACCAGCACAATAACTGCTTCTTGTGCTGTCATTCTTTTCATAACACATTTTGAATATAGCTTAAACGTTAAAACACAGAAACACAACCTACTCATCCAATCTTTGGCATAATTTTATTTTTCTGAATTTGTCATATTTTTAAGCTACAAAACCACACATTTTAATGGATTACAATTATGTCATCAGATGGATTTTTAAACACATTATTCCCAAAATGTTTTTTAAATGTTTCTTACACCGTTTTTTGATTCTTCATTCTTAAACATAAGAATATTTTACCTGCTTACATCTCAGTTAAACATGACTTACTTTTAACTTGTGTAAAGACTTTTGTAAAACTCTATGCACAATGTGTAACTCTGCTGTTTGCTCCACTGTATATGTTAGATATATTTTCAATAGTGTTTTTACTAGATGTCTCTATGTTTGAATATAATGTATTTTTACACTTATGAACGACTATTATGCTTTTTTTCTAGTGCCAAATAAAAATAGATTTTTGGTTTGGAGACGCATGCGAGTTGACCTGCTTTTGTTAAAAATACTAAAACTAGTGTGCGGGTATATGCCTACCTTGTACCTACTCTGAGAAATAGATTGCTATACAAGAGATCTGGCCTTGTGTAAGGACTCCGATTGTGTATCTGCTGTGATCCGTGTAATGACTCTAATATGTTTTGATTGTCTCTTGATATGACACGTATGTCCTTCGATGTGTGATGTAACATTGACTATATAGAGCTTGTTCTAAAGCTGTTCTGTCTGAAAAAACAGAAAGAAACTGAGAATAAACTTCCAGGTTGCTCTGGTGCGTAAAGATCCCGTCTGTGTGAGGCTGATTTTCCACAGATTTGGTGGAGGATGCGAGGCTCTGAGCGCACCTTTGCCCTGGTTGTTTTGAAGCTGTTTCTTTTTTTCAGGGTGAGGGATCAACATGAAGACAGGTTAGCTACCTGTGTGGGTAACCAGTCCCTATAGGAAAAAGGTCAGAATAGAAAAAGACAAGGTAGAGGCTCTTTGAGACAGGGCAGAGGCTCTTTGAGAGTAATTACAGT